ACTCAGAAGAGTTGTGGGATGGTATGAAGAATGAAGAACATCATACAGGAAGAATGGAAGTAGTCATTAAGAAGACACAAAAGAAAGAAAAGACCAAAATGGATGTCAGAAGAGACTCTGAAACTTACCCTCCAGCATAGAGATGCTGAACAAATGGAAGAAACGAGAAGGTAAACAGCTGAACAGAGTATTTCAGAGGGCAGCTCAAGAAGACAAAGTCAAATATTATGAGGAAATGTGAAAAGATCTGAAGTTAGAAAACCAAAAGGGAAGGACATGCTCAGCATTTCTCACATTGAAAGAACTGAGGGAAAAAGTCAAGCCTTGAAATGCAATATGGAAGGATGTTTTGGACAAAATACTGAATAATACAGAAAGCATCGAAAAAAAAAAAAAAAAAAGGTGGAGGGAATACACAGAACCACTGAACCAAAAATAAATGATCAGTTAATCTTACAGTCCAGAAACAGAGGACCCTAGGACCATTAAAGGAGAAGAGCACAAGCAAAATGTGGAACCATATCCAGAGAAGCAGCGACACCAGAGATGGAGACAGAGATGATGACATGGAGAGAGCGGAGCAGCTGAGGATTCTAGACTCATGGAAAGAGAAAGGTTGAGTGCTGGTGGTCAGGAGGCAGGCTTACAGAATGTGCTGTTTGGTTGTTTAAATGATTATATATTCCTGAGTGTTTTTGTGTACAAAACAAAACAACTAGAGGGAATAGAAGCAAATACTGTTGAATGATGATGCACGGAGGAGATTGTAATCATTGCAATGAAATGATGAGTGTAAAACCCATGTTCTCCCATGTAAACTATCACTCAATTCACAATAACAGCTTAAAAAAAGAAAGAAATGATCGATGTTGTTCAACCACTTCATGAGGTAGCATATGATCAAGAAACAATGGCACTTAAAGAAGTCCAAGATGCACTGAAGGCATTGGCAAAGAACAATGCTGCAGGAATTCATAAAACACAAATTGAAATCTTTCAACAAACTAATGAAGCCCTACAGGCATTCACTCATTTTGCAAAGAAATTTGGAAGACAGCTGCCTGGCCAACTGATTGGAAGAGATCCATATTTGTGCCCATTCCAAAAAGAGGTGACCCAACAGAATGCAGAACTTTTTGGACAGCATCATCAATATCACTTGCAAGTAAAATTTTGCTAAAGAAAATTCAAACATGGCTGCAATCATACACTGACAGGGAAATGCCAGAGGTTCAAGCTGAATTCAGACAAGGACATGGAATGAAGAATATCATTGCTGACATCAGATGGATTTTAGCTGAAAGCAGAGAATACCAGAAAGATAGTTTTCTTTGCTTTATTGACTATGCAAAGGTGTTCAACTGTGTGAATGATGAAAAATTATGGCCAACATTATGGAGAAAAGTATTCCAAAACACTTAACTGTGCTCAATTGGAACCTATGTTGTTGTTGTTAAGTGTGGTCCAGTTGGTTCTGATCCATAGCAACCCTGTATAGGGTTTCCAAGAATCGGCTGGTGATCTTGAACCATCTACCTTGCTGTTCAAATCAACTGTGTAGTCCAGTGCATTAACCCACACCACCACACCAGGACACCTATACATAGACGACCAAAAGGAAATTGTTCAAAAACAACAAGGGGGAAAAAGAATGGTTTAAAATCAGGAAGGGATTGTATTCTTTCCCCATATTTATTCCATCTGTATGCTGAGCAAATAATCCAAAAAGCTGGGTTACATGAAGAAGAACCTGGCATCAGAATTGGAGGAAGACTCATTAACAGCCTACGAGTTGCAGATGATACAGCCTTGCTTGTTGAAAGTGAAGAGGACTTAAAATACTATTGAAGATCAAAGACCACAGCCTTTGGCATGAGTTGCACCTCAATGTAAAGAAAACAAACTCCTCACCGCTGGTGCAGTAAGTAACATCATGATAAATGGAGAAAAGATTGTCAAAGACTTCATTTTGCTTAGCTCCTCCATCAACACTCAAGGGAGCAGTGGAGGAGAGGAGAGGCATGGAGAAATTGAAGGCACAGCGGAAGTTTTAGTTTAGCCAAATCAAATGAAACCCAAACAGCTATTTCAGTGTTGCAGCTACAGCTGAAATATAAATCCTTCCCTAGCAACCCTAGGAGCTCTGGTAATGTAGTGCTTACAAGTCAGGCTATTAATCCCATGGTCAGCAGTTTAAAACTACCAGAGGTTCCGCCGGACACAGATGAGTCTTTCTGTTCCCATAAAGATTTACAGCCTTGGAAACCTTATGTAGGGTTGCTATGAGTCGGAACTGACTCCACGGCACACCACCCCCACCCCAGATACCCTAGTCAATTACTCCTAGACATAGCCCATCCCCTCCAGCACCCTTCTATAACTATCTGTTGTAAGCCATCCCTAGTTCATAACTGGAGTCCTATGTGGGACTGTAGGATAAACACTGGACTACTTCTGGTGTGGCACTGTGGATCAGCACTGGACTGCAAACAACGAGGTCAGCAGTTCAAACCCACCCTGCTGCTCCTTGGAAATCCTATGCTAGGTCGCTATGGGTCAGAACTGACTCAACAGCATTTAACAACAGCTAGACACGAGGTAAATAATGAAGACCATAGAGGAAATGATGCATTTGAGTTATGGTGTTGGAGGAGAATATTGAAAGTGCCATGGGCTGCCAAAATAACCAACAGATCTGTGTTGGAAGAAGTGCAAACACAGTGCTCCTTGGAGGCCAGGATGGCCAAACTTCGTCCCTCATACTTTGGGCATATTGTCAGGTGGGACCAGTCACTGGAGAAGGATATCATGTTTGGTAAGGTGGAGGATCAGAGAAAAAGAGGAAGACCCCAGCAAGAAGGATTGGCAAAGTGGCAGCATCGATGGGCTCAAGCGTGGCAACAATTGTGAGGTTGGCCCAGGACAGGGCAGTGTTTTGTGTTGTTGTGCATAGGGTCGCTATGAGTCGGTGCCAACTCGATGACTCCTAATAACAACAAAGCCATAAGGTTGGCAATTCAAACCCACCAGCCTCTGCTTGGAAACCCTATATAGGGTCACTATGAGTCCGAACTGACTGGGCATCATTTAACAACAATCCCATAGTTAATGACTTTTTTTTTTTCAGTTAACAAAATTAATCTCTTCCTTTTAAGTTCTTTAAAGCAGAACTTGTGGTCCTAATAAGAAAGACATCTTCCCTAACCAGTGTGAAACTACCTAACTATTGAAATGGAAAAACAACACAACCAAGTTTGACCACAAGTTCTGCAATCCTGATTTTCTTCCCCTTTAATAACCTCAGGCTATCCCTCCATTTAAAGAGGCAGATCTGGCGGATTCTCCCTCCTCTGTCCTCACGTATGTTAAAATGATAGACTCAAGGGTTATTTAGAAAATCATGAACACAGCGTCAATTCCATCAGCTGTCTAGGCTCAGATAACGTTGTTGTTGTTAAGTGCCATCGAGTCGGTTCCAACCCATAGCAACCCTGTACAGGGTTTCCGAGGGTGTAAATCTTTACGGGAGTAGAAAGCCTCATCTTTCTCAGATAATGAAAAGGTATTATAAGACTTCTCAGGCTGTGTTCATGGAAAGGGCCTGGTACCGCAGGGGAGGGAAGTGCAGGCCACCACTGGTGGTGGTGGTGGTTATGTGGTGTCTAGTAGGTTCCTCCTCACAGAAGT